GGTAGTTGTTAGTTTAAGCTATATCCCATGTAATAGACAAATGTTCTCGTAGTTGTTAGTTTACACTATATCCTATGTTATAGACAAATGTTCTCGTAGTTGATAGTTTAAGCTATATCCTATGTTATAGACACATGTTCTGGTAGTTGTTAGTTTAAACTATATCCTATGTAATAGACACATGTTTAGGTAGTTGTTAGTTTAAACTATATCCTATGTAATAGACACATGTTTAGGTAGTTAGTTTAAACTATATCCCATGTAATAGACAAATGTTCTGGTAGTTGTTAATTTAAACTATATCCTATGTAATAGACACATGTTCTGGTAGTTGTTAGTTTAAACTATATCCTATGTTATAGACAAATGTTCTGGTAGTTGATAGTTTAAACTATATCCTATGTTATAGACACATGTTCTGGTAGTTGTTAGTTTAAACTATATCCCATGTAATAGACAAATGTTCTCGTAGTTGTTAGTTTAAACTATATCCTATGTTATAGACACATGTTCTGGTAGTTGTTAGTTTAAACTATATCCCATGTAATAGACAAATGTTCTCGTAGTTGTTAGTTTACACTATATCCTATGTTATAGACAAATGTTCTCGTAGTTGATAGTTTAAACTATATCCCATGTAATAGACAAATGTTCTCGTAGTTGTTAGTTTAAACTATATTCAATGTAATAGACACATGTTCTGGTAGTTGTTAGTTTAAACTATATCCCATGTAATAGACAAATGTTCTCGTAGTTGTTAGTTTAAACTATATCCTATGTTATAGACACAGTGTTCTGGTAGTTGTTAGTTTAAACTATATCCAATGTAATAGACACACGGTCAGGTAGTTGTTAGTTTAAACTATATCCTATGTAATAGACAGTTTGACATTTGCATACTGTTGTAGTACAATAAATACACATATACACACTATATCCTTCTTTTGCAGCAATGAAACAGTTACAAATGTAATTGGACTTTGTTACAAAAGTTAAAATATTTTCATCTACAATCTCTCCTTGATTGATTATAAGTTCATGTAATAGTATGTGAATTAGGAACTTAAAACTGAGGAGTATGTTGTCTAAAGGTTTCAAACAACTAAACTAAACTTGTATCACAACAAACAGCATCATAATGTTTGTTGTAAAAGTCTGCATTAGTTTTTTTAACAATTTCTTAAGATTATACTTACGTCCTCTTTTCTTGGTATAGATTCTAATTAGAGCAAGATATTCCCAAAGATATTCAAGTAAGCAGTCTAAGTTGAGCTTCATGTTACAGCTGAAACAGAAAAATATTTTATGGTTCTCTCTAGACAGAAAGTTAATACTCCAAAATGTCATTGGACAAAGTGTCTGCTGTCTAATCCTACATGTCCCCCTGTTATTGTACAATGTCTACTGTATAATCCTACATGTTATCATGTCCTTTTACAAAGTGTCTACTGTGTAATCCTACATGTCACCATGTCATTGTACAAAGTGTCTACTGTCTAATCCTACATATCATTGTACAAAGTGTCTACTGTCTAATCCTACATCATCAAGTCAGTGTACAAAGCTTGTACTCTCTAAACATGACATTGTAGTATCTACTGTGTAATCCTACATGTCACCATGTCATTGTACAAAGTGTCTACTGTCTAATCCTACATATCATTGTATCAAAGTCTACCTGTCTAATCCTACATCATCAAGTCATTGTACAAAGCTTGTACTCTCTAAACATGACATTGTAGTATCTACTGTGTAATCCTACATGTCACCATATCATTGTACAAAGTGTCTACTGTCTAATCCTACATATCATTGTATCAAAGTCTACTGTCTAATCCTACATATCATTGTATCAAAGTCTACTGTCTAATCCTACATATCATTGTATCAAAGTCTACTGTCGAATCCTACATATCATTGTATCAAAGTCTACTGTCTAATCCTACATATCATTGTATCAAAGTCTACTGTCTAATCCTACATGTCATTGTATCAAAGTCTACTGTCTAATCCTACATGTCATTGTATCAAAGTCTACTGTCTAATCCTACATCATCAAGTCAGTGTACAAAGCTTGTACTCTCTAAACATGACATTGTAGTATCTACTGTCTAATCCTATATGCCATCTGGTATTTTTTAGTTATTCAAACTTACAAAATAGCATTGTATGCTCACTCTTCACTACTATCCAGTGTAGACTCACTCTCCAGTACTATACAGTGTATTGTAAAGTGAGAGTACACTTCTATACAATGTATCAATAAAAAACCTATAACCCGAGCACTTTTGGAAGGTGGATCTTTCTTCTTCATGGGCAAACTGGAAATGGTGGTTTAATTAAATGAGTGATATATATAAATGGAGTTTAGTAACATCATGTAGGTCATCCAGTTTTCCAGGAAATGTTTAGTCTGCACTGTTGTAAGAATCTCATTTCTGGTACAGTGTAACCGATAGCGAGAGTGTATGTGAAAAGTTGTTAGGGATATTTTACTTTAGAAATGGATAAATATATGTAGATTTGAAACTATACTTAGTTTTTTAAGTAAAATAAAGGTGACACATGGAGACTGATTGAAAAAGATATGTTATGCTAATCAATTTATAAAAACAGGTATTGAAAATTATATTAAATAAATAGTAAGTTTTAGGAAATTCAGCATTCACATTACATGAAAAAAATAAGCAAAGAATAAAAATTATTTTTCTGACAGGGATGAAATCAATGAACAGAGATCACATAATTTCTAATATAAACATTGTTACTGAAAAGCTGTCCGCTTTTGTTGAACACCACGTAAAATGTATTCCATGTACCCTTCCCTCTTACATATTTTTCGTTTGGACAGCCGGTCTTAAATCACTTAAAGAATTTATCTCACATGCAAACTCCTTTCGAAAAACAATCAAGTTTACCTGTGATTACTTGCCTTCCCAGATTAACTTTATTGATGTCACCATTTTTCTAAGACAGAATTTTACACACTGACCTGTACAAAAAACCTACAGACAGACCACAATACCTTCACTTTGAAAGCTGTCACCCCTCTCACACTAAACAAAACATTACCTGCAGTCAAGCTCTTAGAATAAAGAAAATATGCTCACATGAAACAGACTACAGAAAACACACCAAGGATCTAAAACAAACCATGTTACAAAGATGATATAAAGATACTGAAATCAACAGAAAAATTTTAAAGGCTAACAACACTTAGTGAAAAAACATATTAAACTTTCAAATAGAATTCCTCTTATTATTACCTATCAGTTTAAACTCAGAAACATTTCACAAATTTTGAAAATATTTTCATCTCCTACAACTGAACAATCGTCTTAAACAGATATTTCCTGAAGTTCCTGTTGTCTCCTTCCAAAAAAGCAGAACTCTAAAAGATATCCTTGTTCACACAAAAGTGAATTACATCCCACCCAAAGATATTTGTCGTCCATGCAATAAAGCTTGTTGTCAAACCTGCAAGTTCATAAAAACCACCGACTCATTTTCTGACAAGCACAATCAAAGAAACTTGAAAATATCCAAAGAAATCACTTGTGAAACAAAAAACACCATACAGTGTAAAAACTGCAATTACCAATATGTACACAAACAACTCTTAGAGAATGTTTCAACAACCATAAATTTTCTATTAACACCGAAAACGATTTTCCTGTTGCTCAACACTTTAACCAACCCGGTCAATCCATTAACGATGTCACTCTCATTGGCATTGAAATAAGATTCAAAACTAAAGCAGAGAAATAAAAGAAGCTTACTGGATTCTAATCTAAACACTGTTCAACCTTTTGGAATTAATCTAGATCCTGGAATCAGTGACCTACGTTCATTGGTTTCATCTCTGTCAGAAAAATAATTTTTATTCCTTGCTTATTTCTTTCGTGTAAAGTGAACGCTGAATTTCCTAAAACTTACTATTTATTTAAGATAATTTTTCATATCTGTTTTTATTATAAATTGATTAGCATAACATATCATTTTCAATCAGTCTTCAGGTGTCACATTTATTTTACTTAAACACTTAAGTATAGTTTTGAATATGCATATATTTATCCATTTCTAAAGTAAAATATCCCTAACACCTTTTCACATACACTCTCGTCAATAGCTATACTGTACAGGAAATGAGATGCTTACAACTAGTTTTTTTTTTTTTTTGTTTGTAATTTCGCGCAAAGCTACACGAGGGCTATCTGCGCTAGCTGTCCCCAATTTAGCAGTGTAAGACTAGAGGGAAGGCAGGTAGTCATCACCACCCACCACTAACTCTTGAGTTACTCTTCTACCAACGAATAGTGGGATTGACCGTCACGTTATAACGCCCCACGGCTGAATAGGCGAGCATTGCGAGTTGAGCGCCTTAACCAACTGGCCATGCCAAGTAGCTTACAACAGTAGATAGAGAAATAGACTAAACATTTCCTGGAGAACCGGATGACCTTCATGACGTCACTAAACTTTATAT